AAAATAATTTACAATGCTTCAGAGCAGTTATCAGGTTTATCCATTCGATAACCAGATTTCAAAAGAAGAAGAAGTTCACGGTTGCTTATAGCAGGATAAGGGGTACCTCCTAATTAAAAATAACAACAAGTTAAATGAGCAAAATTATCGTAAAGAATTTTTTGAAAAAACTTCAATTATTTTACCTAAGGTAACAATTTCGAATAAAACGATACCAAATGCCCACCTAAGACAATTACAAAGATTATTGAAATAATTTAGAAACTTAGCTTAAAAACAATACTTATATCTTACTTTATAACAACAAATTTGTACAACTGCAAATATTTGTAAACGAAGAAAAATCTTTTAAATAATGCATTAACAAATAATTGCAAAACCAAGTTAATAAAAAGATATATTAAAATAATTTACACATCGCTAAATGATGTAAAAATCTGGTCAAATATGGCTTCAACAGACATCCACTTGACCGGTAAACGACGCTTTTTTTTACTCATATAGTTTAACTCGTCATTAGCTTTTCTAGTCAAGCCAAAATCAGATATTTTAACTATTTTTCCAGTTCCAACCAAAATATTTCTTGCAGCTAGATCTCGATGAACCAATTTAGCACATGAAAGATATTCCTTGAAAACCCAAAAATTATGGTACAACAAGGTGATTATAACAATATAAACAAACAAATTAAATTACTATTATTTTGGGTATAATCTTTTAAACAATCTTTTTCAAGAAATTTAAATATTTTTTTTTTCAAATTTAATAAAAACACCATATTTTAATCCCTATGAATTCAAAATCAAAAAAGGTGTTAAGTTTATTTTTGTATTACATATTAACATAAGTAGCATGCGTCAAAATTTTGAAAAAGATAATGTTATGACGTCAAATAACTACTTATTCGACGTCATAACATTCTCAGAGACTTGGCACGATTTAGAAAGCCCACTAGAGTGAAATTTTAATTACAGTTTGTCAAATTATAAACTAGTTAGCCAACTACGAGGAAGCAATAACAAATTTAAGGTTATTTTTAGTTGATAGTTTGATTGAAGTTTAATGTGATATACTTTAATTTAAAGCATCTGTGCTTTATTGAAATAATTTCTTGATTAGTAATAATAATCATTTAGTCATTATTTTTAATTAAAGGATTTTATATTGTTTTTTTTTTTCTGTTTATGTAAAGACACCAAAGTCTAGTCATTTTTTTAAATCTTTTATTCAAATTTTCAGCTATGCGGTAAAAATATGATACAACACCGACAAAAATAAGTCAAATCATGTCTTTTACAGCCTTTAAAATATTCTCAGCGAAAAATTGCACAAACCGTGAAAGTTTCTTACCAAACCGTAATGCAAGTGAGAAAAAAATTGATTTTAGAAAAGAGTTTGGCCCAAGGAAACCACCTACTAAACGCAAGACAACACCAAGACCAGACCGTTTAATCCAAAATATCTGCCTGGAAAACAGAAAAAAAAGTCACAAAACGTATTGACTTATTCATAAAATTGGTTTTGTTGTATCAGAACAAACCATTTGCAGAAGACTAAAAGAAGAAGGTTTGATGTGTTATTGTCGAGAAACCAAAACTAACTTCACTCATGCAAAAAAAAAGACTAGAGTGGGCTCGAAACAATTGTCACTGGTCTGTTGGGGATTGAGAAAAAGTAAAGTATATGTATATATATATATATATATATATATATATATATATATATATATATATATATATATATATATATATATATATATATATATATATTTGTTTTATTCTCATACATGGTCATAAATTACTTTCAATTATTTTATAAGTATTATAACTTAACATTAGCATTATTTTAGATTTGCTTCTCAGATAAATCAACCTTTTAAGTAATGACGGAAAAAACCCTTTATGTTTGTCGTAGGACAAACAAAAAGTTTTATCTTAACTTCATTGTGGAAGCAGTCAAGCATCCAGCTTCAGTAATGATCTGGTATGTCATTTGTGGGCAAGGAGCAGGGCATTTCTACAATATGATTGGTATAATGAGGCAGGACCAGTATAAAGAAGTTCTGGAGAATCAATTGCTTCTCCAAATGCCGGGATGGTCTAGAAATGTCAAAAAGTTCAAAATGTTAAAAATTCAAAATGTCAAAAAGTGTCAAAAATCTTATATTTATCCCAGATGGTGCAACTTGCCATACAGAAAAAAGTTGTATGGCTTATTCAAAATAGAAAAAATTGATTTATTGCTATGGCTAGGCAACTCACCTGATCTTAACCCCATAGAAAACATTAAGGAAATAGTAAATCGAGAGTTTGGAAAAAATATTTTGACCAACAAGTAAGACCATATGGAAGAGATTATCAGGATCTGGCACCATAACCCAGTGTTGGCAGAAACTATAAAAAAAATAGTTTGCCAGCATGCCGTTAAAGGACTTATTGCAATAAAAGTGGGTTAATACTTTAATACTTAATGTATATTTTATTGAAATAACCAATAAATATTCAAAACGTTTACTTTTACTTTTTATTTTTTATAAAGTACAATTTTATAAATTAAAAAAAAACAAGTTTTAATTTTAATTGCCTTCAATTGCCCAATTATTTTTCTTTTTGCCAAAAAATTTATTTTTACACAATATTTACAAAAAACTACAGCGAATCCTAATGCGATGGCCGACCGCTGTATATTATATATTCAAGAAATCAGAGCTGAAGAGCATTTGCTAATAAGCTAACTTTGCATGAGAAAGATATGTATACGAGTATATGTATATATATATATATATATATATATATATATATATATATATATAAATATATATATACATATATATATATATATATATATATATATTTATATATATATATATATATATATATATATATATATATATATATATATATATATATATATATATATAATATATATATATATATATATATATATATATATATATATATATATATATATATATATATGTATATATATATATATATATATATATATATATATATATATATACATATATATATATATATATATATATATATATATATATATATATATATATATATATATATATATATATATATATATATATATATATATATATATATATATATATATATATATATATATATATATATATATATATATATATATATATATAATATATATATATATATATATATGTATATATATATATATATATATATATATATATATATATACATATATATATATATATATATATATATATATATATATATATATATATATATATATATATATATATATATATATATATATATATATATATATATATATATATATATATACATATATATATATATATATATATATATATATATATATATATATATATATATATATATATATATATATATATATATATATATATATATATATATGTATATATATATATATATATATATATATATATATATATATATATATTTTTTTTTTTTTTTTTTTTTTTTTTTTTAGTTTACAATTATTAATCGTAATATAACAATATAACAATATATAAACTTGGTATCTGAAAGTAGATCTAAATGATCTTGTCGCCAGAACCATATAAAATTTATCATACGTGTATATATAATAAAATAAGAATACAATTGATCAAATAACTATTAACAACGTAGAGGAAACAAAAACTGAAAATAATTTTACAAATTATCAAGAGTGAAAAAAAGAACTTTACATTTTCAAAATATTTATATATATTGTCAGTAGAGAAAATATAGTTTTTTAATTTAGTTTTAAAAACTGAAAACGAAATTGACAAATCAAAATTTGGAACAACAATTTTGTTCCATCAATACGGTGCTCTATAGTTTATGCAAAATTGATTAAACTTTGTTTGACAAAAGGGTTCAATTAATAAGTTATTACTTCATAAAGCATATTTGTTTATAGCTTTATAAGTAAAAAGAACTTATAACGAAACATAAAACATAAAATATTATAGACATCGAGTTCGTAAACGTTAAGTGCTTTAACGTTTTTAAATAAAATATTTGAATGAGAAAAACGATTTTCAAAACATATTAAACGCATTGCGTATTTCTGACAATAGTAAAGATTTTGTAACTTACTTTTAGAGGTACTTCCCAAACAATATCTGCATAAATATATCTATGAATAAATGAGTAGTAGAGTTGAATTAAATTTTGTTTACTTAGATAGTATCTGAACTTATATAGAATTCCAATACTTTTAGCCAATTTAGAAGAAATATAGTCGATATGATACTTCCATGTAATATTTTCATCAATGTAAATGCCTAAAAATCTTGTGACCGACTCCTTTTTTATTTCAATTTTATCAATAAAAAGTTTAGGCAATTTATTTTGTAAAAAACGCTTTTTTGCAAGTTAGTGGAAAAGGATCCGTTTTGTTTTGTCAATGTTTAAAGTTAACTTGTTGCACTTAAACCAGTTCGAGATCTGATTGAGTTCTTTATTCATATTTGAAAAAAGCTCATAAATGTCACTGTTTGACAGAAATAAATTAGTATCGTCCGCAAAAATTATACTCATAAAGTTAGAAGCTTTATTTAAATCATTTATATAAAAGTGGACCTATAATAGAACCCTGTGGAACACCACATTTTAAGTCAATTAATTTTTCATTTTGAAAATAATCTCTATGGAAAACAAATTGTTTTCTATTTTTCAAGTAACTTTCATACCATTTTATTAATTTGCCATTAATTCCGTAAAATTTGAATTTTTTAAGTAGAATTTTGTGATCGACCGTGTCGAATGCTTTTGATAGGTCAATGAAAATACCTAATCTATATTGTGGTCTACCAAATGAGTATATATATATATATATATATATATATATATATATATATATATATATATATATATATATATATATATATATATATATACATATATATATATACATATATATATTATATATATATATATATATATATATATATATATATATATATATATATATATATATATATATATATATATATATATATATATATATAAATATATATATATGCATATATAAATATAAAGGGGCTGTCTATTAATTAGGTCAACAAATTTTTCAAATTTTCAACTCCCCTCTCCCCTTTGTCAACAATTTGTCAAATTTCCAAAGACCCCCCACCCCCCAGTAAAGTTACGCCAATTTTTTATTATCCCCCTTCTCTATACAAAGAAGCTAAGCTACAAAATCAGCCTAATTTTCTGTTATTTAAGCAATGAAACTCAAAAAAACAACAACTTGTTCACATTAACTTTAATTGACCTCCTTTAAATTGAACTTTTGTGCAAACATAGTTACACACAATTTAGTTTCATAAAATTATTCTATATTTGGCAAGTTAGTTTATTTTGATGTTTATAAGTTTTTCATTTTATTTAGAAAAATTAGAGGATTCAATTGGTAAATACAGTTTAATTATACCTCATTTGTGTGTTATAGATTATATAACTTTAACTTTCAAAAAAAAGTCTATTTTATGGTCTTTTGACTTTTATTGATACAGTTTATAGCATTTTATTTCATAAGGGTTATATGTCAACAACTTAGTAAATAAATATTCCGCTCGGTGGATTATTTTTTTTTTTTTTTTTGGTGTTCTTTTTTTTTTTGTTTTGTTTTGTTTTGTGATTAATGTTTATGATGTGTGTTTTTTTGTTTTTTTTTGCCGCTTGTTTTGTGCAAACTTTTATTCATACTTGAAGTTTTCATAAAATTATCATATATTCTGCATGTTAGTTTCTATCTTAATGTTGATGAGTTTTTTTTAATTTTGTTTAGAAAAATTAGTAAATTCTATTAGTAAGCAAAGTTTAATTATGTTTAATTGTGTTTTACTTCAACTTTAACATTTTACTTTTTGATGTTTGTGTGCGGTTTCATCACCGAAAATGCATATTAATAACTGTTTAATGTATGTTAGTTTATAAACTATTTTTTTTTACCTTTAAAATAAAGTCATCCCAGGACCATCAGGTAATGTGCTTTGCATACTTATGCAGTTTTATGAGTGTTATGTGTAATAAAACCTAAAGATTGCACATCTTAGTTTAAGCATTACTTTATTTATTTTTTTGTTTCTACATTCGCAGCACAAGCAATAACATTAGGTAATCTGTTTTGCATACTTATGCAGTTTTATGGGTGTTAGATGTATTGAAACTTAAAAATCACATATCTAAATTATTACATTATTTATTATTATATATTTGTTTTCATAATTTTTTTTTTTTTTTAAGTCTAAGTGATTTTAAATAGTATGTTTATTGGTTGTTATATGCAGTATGTATTCAAATTAATTTATTTTTTGTTTTTGTTTTTTAGCATCTTGGTAAGATTTTATTTAGTATCTCTCCCAGCACCCAGGCCCGATATTTCAAAGAGCCATCTACCGGTGGGATCAATATGGAGGAGATAATTCTTCCTCTAGATGGAGGAGGCAAACCCCAAATGCTTGGAAGCGCTAAAATACTTTTAATTTTTATCAGTAGTTTTTTTGTTTTTATTCTTAATTTTAAATATATCGAAGTTTTAAAAAAGTTTGAGTTTTTTAATTTTAAATTTTGCCAGTATTTTTGTTATTTCATTTTCTATAGTTTTACTATTTTATTTTATTTTTAACGAATTTTTATTCTTTTTTTAAAACCTAAGTTTACAAAGGAACTCTTATGTGATAAAAGTTTTCAATAATTTGCCTATAATTTTTTTTTTTAATTTATGTTTCACGTCATTTTATACTCACTGTTATTCTTAGTAATACTAAACATTTTTTGTATTAACCCGACAAGAAATTTTAATGTGGGCCATAAATGGCATTTGCATGGTAACCATATGCTTACCACTCTCCTTTATGGGATGGCGTTGACGCGTCCCAAATGTGGCTATAATGTTTATCCCACTAAAACCACACTAAATAAGAACGAACGCCACACTTTATTTGTGGGTAAAAGTTGTATTCCCACGTGTGGGAAGCACATGGTAGTCATATATTTACCATTCTCTTTAATGAGATGGCGTTGGTGCGTTTCATATGTGGCTTTAACGCCACACTTCGGTTACATCAACAAGCCATATTTATTCCTTTACAATACAATCTATCGAATTATTATATTCTTTCAGATTAGCCTATACCAAAAAAACGCTATAAAAAGCGAAATTATCTTAAAGATAATTAAAAAAATCAAATATACTAAATATAAAAATATACCATATTGCAGTATGTTAACGCTGCTTTGTAATGCTAATTATAATTAGACTGACCCAAATAGCTTGATGTTTTAAAAACATTTTCGCTTGTGGGTTTATAAAATCCTAAAAGCGTACCAACAATTTTAAACTTTTTAAAGATTATTCAATTGATTTAAGAACGGGATTTTAAAATAACTTAATTAAACTTGTAACAATACACTACGGTAGTTTATCATCAAAAAGCTAACTTTATGTACCTTAATTAAAACATAACAC